GCGCGAGGTCATGTACTATCGGGGAAAAATGAAATGCGAACAGAGGAGCGCGCGGCTGGCGGTACAGGCTGCGCCGCCTGGAAGTGAGCCTAGGGGCGAGGGTGCGTGGCCTACTCCGATCTCTATACGCCCTTCGCTCTGCGCTCCCCGAGCTTCAGCAGTGCGCCTCTTAGTGCGCTGAAAGCTATCACGGCTATCTTTGCTGGCTCAGCGTGTGCGGTGTGAAGAACCTTGCCGCACGCGCCGAGCAGCCAAAGATAGCGGTGTCAGCTTTCAGCGCACTGAGAGGCACACTGCCGAAGTTTGGGAAGCGCAGAGCGAGGGGCTTGAATTCATCTGAGTAGGCCATGCACCCTCGCCCCTAGGCTCACTTCCAGACGGCGCAGCCTGTACGGCCAGCCACGCGCTCCTCTGTTCGCATTTCATTTTTCCCCGATAGTACAGTATGCTCAACTGTTGACTATAGCGCGGGAGCGGTGGCCGAAACTGATACCAGAGCTGTATAGCGATTAAATCAATGATGCGGCACAGAAGAGGTGGCTCTTCTTGGGATTGTCGCGTCGCCATTCCCCGATACAATTATCGCATAACCTCCTCGTTTCGTTCTTTATCACCCACGCTTTAAATTTCCACTTGTTTGTTTTGTTATTTTTATTTTAGTCACACCTACGCATTTACCATGCGGGGCCACGATATCTCGGTGATCTTGCAGTTTCTCTGATAAAGGTCACCTTCTTTAAACAATAAAGAACAAAATCGAAGGGGGACTTTTTCTTCCGCCGAGTCACGCATTGGTGATTGATTCGGAGTTGGGAGTGTAACTCCAGAAAACACCGGCACCGGCATAACCTGCCAGAGTGAGCCGGTAGATGACGCATGCAGTCTCTCCGGCCACCGCTCCCGCGTTATATTTAACAGTTGAGTACACTTTACTGTGACGACATGACCCTCTCGACCAATCAGGATTTTCGCGGCTTTCCAGGGACGCCACCGGCTTTTCTGGCACGCCGGCGTTTGTAGCGTGAACTACATTGGCCGAGGTTGAGCAGTTTCGCGTGGCTCCTGGAGAACGTGCTGCGCATGCGCGAGGAGCAGTGACGTCACACGGCGCACAGCTGGCGCGCCGGAGCCGCCGCCACGCGCGCCTCGCCGGTCTGCGAATTCCAGAGGAGTGACCCCATAGCCGCGGCAGACGCACTGGCGCCGCCGCGCGCCCAGCTGTGCGCCTCCGTTGCGCAGTAGCCATGTCTGACGCTCCACCGGAGCCGCTTGATAGCGCCTCTCATTTTGTGCGCATGTGCAGAGGTATCAGTGGGGGTATACATATAGCGGGGCGTTTTCCAGTGTGGTATAGCCATGGAGAAGGAAAGGGAAATTGCTGCTCAGCTGCGCAGAAGAGCGGAGAAGCTTAACTCATCGGATCCCGAAGTAGTTGCCTGGCAATTAGCGGTTGAGCGCAGGAAGAACGAACAGAATAAGGCTGAACGTGCTGCGGAGACACCGGAGCAATGGGAGGAACGTCTAGCAAAGCGGCGTCGCCAGGAGGCTGAGCGACGTGCCCGACAATCAAAACAGCAACAACAGCAAGACGCCGTCGTTGACGGCAAGGCTCGCCGATTGACTGACTATACGGTTAAACTTAGCGAATGCACCAGTGCGACTCGGACCTTTGAGACGGACTTCATAAACAATCCGTTTGGATATGTGTGTGACCTGTGTGAAAGACTGTGGCACATGAAAGACTTGACGCAGGTAAGTAGTGCCATGCGTGAAACGTTGAGTTTAGCGGCACCGCCTGAGTCGGGTGAAACCGTGGCGCGGGATTGTACAACGTGCAAGAACTTTCTCGTTAAGCAGAAAATTCCACTCTTTAGCGTTACCAATGGGTATCGTTACCCGCCCATGGCACCAGGTTTACCGGCTCTAAACGATGTGGCCGAACGTTTACTTTCGCCACGGATTCCTTTCGTTCAGATTGGTCGTCTAATGAACTGGAGAAATTGTCTGTTTGGCATTAAGGGACCCGTGGTGAACGTGCCGGTAGACACGGACGAGATGCTAAAGTATTTGCCTCGCAGCTTGGAAGATGATAAGTGCATTGTGGTCAACCTAAAGAGGAGAATGTTTGCCAAGGCTGTCGAACATGGTTTCTCGCGATGTGCTTGGACCATGGGTTGAGGTACTGAGAGACTCGCCGCTGTATAAACACTACGGCATAAACATTGACGACGGACGTTTAGAGAGGCTGTATCGGGAAGCCGTCGCGCACGAAGATGTTAACGTGGAGGCTTGTCCGGATCTCGCCGATTTAGATGATCCGATGAATATGGCCACAGCTTTGACATTGGACCAGCATAGTTTGGTGTACGATTAAGACGCGGTCTTAACCATGGCACCGGGGGAGGGCAAGAGACCAGTCAGTATCTTGTATGATACCCATGCTGAAGAGCTGTCTTTCCACCAGATATGCTTGGGCCAGGCTCGTTGTATGTGTCACATAATGCGTATACCGTGTGTGTGTCATTGAAGCAGCAGTAAGCATGATAATCAAGCTAATTCTAGACAACCAGGAAAGCTAAGAATAACCAGCTGAACCTAAGCTCACGCTACGTATATCCTGGCATAGCCGAGCTAAGCCACTGCAATTTTATTTTGGCACGCCACCGAGGCCGGCGCGACACGACCTCCTTAAAGCTATCGCTCTAAAACATACATTGTGATTACTCTCGCTAATAGCCGATTCACACGACGAACCTAATTGCACTTTTCGTCCGCAGACCGTGTAGTACGTGACCGTCACGTCATCGACTCCTGCGATCTGTGCCTCGTCCGCGGACGCGCGGACTGATAAAACTTAGCGCCTTTTCACTAGGGGAACTTTGGTTGGACGTTGACTTGGAGAACGTTTAGTCTGGAAACGGTATAACGTTCTCTTTTAGTTTTTATTGTTGTTTTTCCGACGGTTAAAACAAAAATGGCCCAACGTTGTATTTTGTGCATTCGCTGCTTCATTTTGTCGCTCGATTCTTGGTTCCACGCGTGAAAGAAACTGCAGACATTTTGTCCGGCTGACGCGGCGCAGGTTCCGCAACTCCTCCGAATGCGTGTCAAAAAGCTTCCGTCATAACCTGGCTAGAACGCCGCAATCATTCTTGCGCGTACTATCAGGCTTTCACCGAGCACGAACTTTCTTGTGGCTGTGGTGTGCTTGAGTTTATAGTGCACGAGCGCGGAGTGCTGTGCAGGCATCTCCAAACCCCCTCCGCGTGCCCAGAACTCCGTCGCTTCTACGCCGAACCCTTCTCGAGCAGGACCATGCCAGTGTCTCTGTCATGCCTTGGGTTAGTAAAGCTAGTGGCGGTTCGCGCGAAGCCTATCACGGTGTTCTGTCTCGATCTGCACGTAACAGCGGCGCATGATTCTTTATCATAGTAGCAAACATCGATTTCTCTCTTACACAACGGTGCGATTCTGGAGTTCCGCGGCACTGTGGGAAGGCGAACAGGTTCGGTCCGTCCTCGCTCGCGTCTAATCGTCGTCTCGCTCGTGTGGATATGCTTGGGAGACGGACGAACCGCGGCCATGTCGTCAGGTGATCGATCCGTCCGCGGATCAGTCCATCTTGTTAGTCGACCATAAATAAAGTATAATAACACTCTACTTCCCTGCCTTGCTACTTCATTACTAACTCATATTCTTCATCCTCGCAGCCCCAGCATCCTATCAATTTGATCGTTATGTGTATTCACCACGCCCACACTTCACATGCAGTAGTAATTTAGGATAGGCGCATGATATCCTAATTGGATCCTCCTCTAACCAATTCGTTCTGACGTTTCATGTGCTGTCGGCCCTTCATATAGACCGACATACGGCTCTGACGTTTCTCCACTTCAGTGGCGTTAATGTCGGCACGGCGTGCGTGCAGACTCTTCAACCCTCCCGACAATTTGGTTTCTGCGAGCGCGCAGTGCCCCCACCTGGTGTGGGCAAACGAGGACTTGTTTGTGAGCGGCGCTTCGGCCTGTAGGTTCTATTCAATATATTAATATGAGTAAATACTAAACAGACTTCTGCCCGTTACTTGAAAAATGTAATGGATTACAGTTACAAATTACCAAGCCTCAAATGTAATGGATGACCGTTACAAATTACTTTCGCTGAAAAGTAACGCATTACTCGTTACGTTACAAATGACTTTCACGTTACTTTCTTCGTACATTTATCAAGAAAACAATTGAAACAATTTTGATGTTTTCAAAAATGTTCTGCAACACTACATTCTAATTTTTACACCATTGCATTGCCATAGTCCTTGTAAAAATAAAATATCGTATTTGAGAGAAAGAATGTAGGTGCACTCCATTCACCTGTAAGCTGACGAGGCAGCGAAAGCTGCAAGCATACCTGCCATCTCGCTAGCTAACGGCGACTGTAAAAAAATTCCCGGAATCCTGCAGACAAAGCTAGTGGTGCGAACGCTCAGTAGCAGCGTCTACCTCCGCTAGGAGATTTGGAGGTAAGGACCCGATCTACGAAAGCTCCTTTCTGTAACGGGCCTTTCAAGCGTAAATGCTACGTCTCAAAGCTCTCGTGCCTGTAGTTTTGACGCACTGCCAGCTTATGCATTTTTGAGGATGATGTTTAGAGCGCATGCACAGAACGAACTCACATTAATAGGCTGTTAAGACCGGCAATCTTAATGGCGCGGAACGCACGTTGCAGAAGAACTGTAGAAGCTCACCGTCAGTACGCGCTCAGCAGTCGCGCACACAGTTATGGCCGCCAATGAATACTTCCTATTAGCGACGAGGAGTTTTGGTGGCGCCCGATGGTGTTTGTAATGAGCAAGGTGGAAGATAGAAATCATCGCGCTTCGAACCAACCCAGCCAACACCACCAAAATTAAAGTTCTTCCACTCCTCTTATTTCTGTCGAAGAGAAATCCTTTGCCTAGAATAGGCATCAAAATGTATCGAAATTGCTCCTCGCGCACTTACCAAGAATAAGCAGCAAGGACACGAAGATGTTCTGAAATCGATTCTTCATCGAAATGCCCATGTTCTTGAGAATTTTGTAGAACGGAAAATGTACGATGCCTTATATCCACTATCTATGCACGCCTATTTGTAGATCCAATGAGAGAGATGCTACTCGCGGTTTCTGTTGCTATCCGAGACCAAGAAAGTTTTAGGTTTTAACAATTTTTGTCCAGCCGCTCATATACCCGCGATTATTTTTTGTGTAGTTTTGACAAATTTGTCAAAGCCATGCTGGCATCTTTATTTTTATTCTTTTTGTCCTTAGTATTGTATTGTTAAGCTAAACTTGAAATCAAAAATAAAATGTGGCGAGGCACACCATCATCAACAGATGGTCCTTCTTTCAACCCCAACTCGACTTTTTGGCGATTATAAACATTCCACAAAAAAAAAAAAAAAATTCGTATTCTTGGGAATGCGTTTTTTTTTTTTTTTTTTTTTTGCAACCTGTCAGCTTTGAACTGGAGTTAAGACAGGTCAAAAGATGCAACACAATAGTACCTTTGAATGTATTCTTTGTTATTTTCAAACTTTTTTTTTTGCATGAGGTGAATAAACCGTAAGAGAATCTTTGTTTATTAAAACAACAATCGTAGAAGTAAAAACAAAGCAAAATGCTTTGTACATTTTTGCGAGTGCCCTTTGCGAGTAACCATTGTGGTAATTTTCCGTTTCGTGAACATCTACAGGCAAGGGACCTCTTCGCTACGCAACTTGATTTTTTTTTAGAACTATCCTCACTGACAACCGTCGAATATTATCGTATTGAGAAGAGGCAGAAAGCAAGGAAATATTAGGGCTTGAATTTGCCACTTGCGGGCATCGTATTCTATATTAAAACAAAAAAAGTGACCTACTGCATTCGCTACAGCTGGAAATAACACGTTTAATAAATTTCATTATTAAATGTTACAAAAATCTAACTGGCAAACTGACTCATTTTTGCGCATATGTTTTATTTTAAAGGAAGGCTAGGAGCTCGGTCGAAGGGCATTTTAAAACGGGCCTTGGCACGTCGTGGTCCCCGACACCTTAGAAACTCAGGGTGTGGCATATTATTTTTACGCTTCTTGCCTCGTGACTCTTTCTTTATTGTACCTATCGGCTAATGCAGCAATCTGAAGATGTGGGGTTCTACCGGGCACTGTTATACTGTATTAGTAGGAATATGAGGGGAAAGAGAAGTGACAAAGGAGGGGAACGACGTTTCGACCAAACCGTTTGGTCGAAACGTCGTTCTCTCCTTCTTTTTTTTTGGTACTCCTCTTTCCCCTCCTATCCCTACTAATGCAGGTATCTGATTGGCTGCTGAGCTATGATAACATGCTCTACACTTACCATGCCCTTCGTTTCTTAAGCAGTTTTATAGCGGAATATGGTGGTTCTTGTTATCTTCCGTAGCGCACATAGGCGCCTACGGCGGGGGAGTTATTCATATCAATAAAGAACAATCGAAAATGGTATTTAAGCTATTATTCACCGATGCCTTTCTAATGCAGAATGTCACATAGGTAGTGGAGTTGAGTTAATTTTAACAAACGTGTTCGTTAAGGAAATAGGAGACAACTTTCATTTTATACTAAACTAATTGTGCCCTGCAATTTAGTACAGAATAACTTGCATCGATTCATTCACCCTGAACTAATTCAAGCACAAACGCTACCCGGTTGGTGCCAGGGGCACTTGTCACGTACCGGCGCAATGGTTTTCCCTGTTATCCTGCTCACCTAGTGGCGCTGTAAACTAAGTCCACTAAAGACTGTCGCTATCACTATCACAAAACAGAACACCCGGTTGATTAGTACTGAATCGCAAGAATGCCCAAAACGTGGCAATGCAAGTGTGGCTTGTGTATATATTCAAATCTCGTCCCGTTCTTCGAGCGATGTATTTTTACTACGGTACATCAAGCACTTGTTCCCTAATGGTATTGGTTTAGTGAAACTGAAGTGTTTTATCCAGGGTCTCGAACCGAACCCGAACCCAAACCGGAAAACAGAGCAAAAACGTTATTTTTGTTTTTACCGAACCAGAGCAAAACCGTAACCTAAATCAAGCATTTAATTAGGACTTCTAGCAAACTGTTATCGTGTTTCACGTAACGCACTACTATACTTCGTCTCACCTTAGTATGGACTATTGTTAGCCGCGCGTGCTTACAGCGCGAGCTAGACGCTTTGAATGAAGCCGCGGCGGCTGCACGAGTGCTCGTGCAGCAAGTGCTCTTGTCAAGGCAGTCAAGGCTGGCCGCTCGCGCTAGCACAGCTTTCGCGTTTAGTCCATGCTGGGGTGAGACGAAGTATAGAGCCTTTGAAGCATGGTTTTAATCGCGCACCCCTCGGTCACGGTATCACTCTTGGCGCGCGCATAAATGCATTCTTCAAAGGCTCCAGTTGTGCGCTACGCGGAACAAGGTAGTGGCACGGCCACTCGATTAGGACTCCCCTTGGGAGCGGCCTGCCGTATGTCTCACTCCGCCGGTGAGAGCGATAGTTCTACTTTACCCCGCAGCGCCATCCGTGGTGCTCGTTATCGGTGAGAGATAGAGTTCCTTTCGGGGGAGCATATCGAGTATGTACTTGTTAGCCGCGCGTGCTAAAAGCGCGAGATAGTTGCTTCGAAGGAAGCCTCGGCGGCTGCATGAGCGCTCGTGCAGCGAGTGCTCCAGTCAAGGCATTAAAGGTTAGCCGCTCCCGCTAGCACCGTGTTCGCGGTTACTCCATGCTAAGGTAAGACGAAATATAGTGAGAGAGGAGCGGTACGCCCGGCCCAGCCCGGTGTGGCTATTTAGATTTTTTTTTTTTTCGTGAAGCCGCAAGTCTCAATTGAAACGAGTGCCAGATTGCATGAATGATGTGACAAATTTGTGTAGAATAAAAGCACATGATTCTTTCTGCAAAAAGCTCACTTAGCTGCAGGCTGCGCGTTAAAGCTCCATTCTGCTGGCAGTATGCGCGAATTCTCGTTTTCTTGTTACCGTAACTGTTGCCCCGTTTCTATTACCACTGTAATATAGGAGTTATAGTTGGATAGAGCTAGGCCGTATGATTTCCGGTTTTAACCCACGCGCGAGCTGTGCCATTTATTCATCTGTGAAGGACAATATAAAATCGGATTCCGCGTGCATAACTTCAGCAATATAAACTTCATTGTTCACAAAAAAACAGACCAAGAGAGTCATATAGTTCACAAGCGGAGTACCTTTCGGGAAAGAGGCTTTCGCGAAAGCCTCAATATATTCTCTAGTGGGCTGTTTAGGTCACCAGCCCAGTTTGACAAAAAAAGGTCTGAAGAGTTTTCTGAGAAAGAGCTCGCTGAGCTCTTCGCTGTGGTAGGCGTCTCGGCAGTTAACGCACCACATCAGTGGGCAGTCCATAAGGTGTGGAAGCACAGCGCTGCAGAGGACCTTGCAAATCCTTCCACAACCACGAGTCTTTGCCGACTGTAGAGCTCTCTCGACAAAGGTGCAAACGAGCTTGCACAGCCAGACAGCTTCAGGTCGTGGATATAGCTGAGTCCTCCTTGGTCAAGGCTAAACATGAACTCATATGCTCCGTCATGTGATGCATTTCCCTTAAGTTGCGCTTGCATTCAGGACACGTCACCTGCAAAGTTTAGCGGGTTCTACACATTAGCCTTCCTTGCTTTCACTGAGAAGTTTTTATTGCTTTGCTAGGTTGAAAGTTTCAGCTAGTTACTTTGAAATTACAACAATTTCTACAAATAAAAATGGTCACCTTTTGTTCGCAAACGAAGGCCAAGTAGCCAGCCATGTAAGTCAGCGGTGCGAACTCAAGTTCGGAAGAGACTTCATTGTACTTCATCAACTGCAGGATTTCCTGTTTCACGAGTGGAGTTGGCACATTTCATCGCCGTCTGGCACTCAAAACTAGAACGCGCATTTACATTTCCGGCAGCTTCCAAAATGCCAACACAAACCACACACGCGAGCGCAGAGTGACACTACGATATTTTCGCCAAGCACAGAATGACAGGCAGATATTTTATCTGGGTAGCGGAGCAAGAACGCGTTGGGCGCCTTCTCTATACGCTGTTTCACCTGATGTTGTACCGCAGCGAAGGCTGGAAGCGCGAGCTCATAGCGTTGACAGCTGCCCTTACTGCACGAGAGCTTGTGCCGCTGAGATCTGCCCCAGAGCAAGGAGCTCGCGCTTGCAGCCTTTCCTGCGGTACAACATAAGGTGAAACAGCTTACAAGACCGCTCACTAGGGTGCCTACATGTCTGTCTGTCTCAGGGTGAAGACATCCATTGTTGCCCCGAATGTGCCAGCGCGTGACGCTCTGGCGCACTCGGTGCGTGACTTGGGCGGTAAAATGGCGTCTATGCATTAGCCATAGCTACGCGCTCGAGCTGAGTGACACCGGATTGCGCGTACTTCAATATGCATAAAAAAACGATTGGGCGGAAAAATGGCTGAGATATCACCACTCAAGCAAAAGCGCGCCTGTGTATGAAGGCACTCTACCGCTCACCGATGTGCAGCGCCCCCACGGAAAATGGGAGAAGTTCTCCTCTCACGCGCGCTCTCTTGTTTTCGGAAGAACATCGGCAGGCCGCACCAACAGGGTGGATCGAGTTGCCGTGGTAGTGGTTTGTTAAAACTCCCTAGTTTTGAACTCGAACCAGAACGGAACCGTTCCCTCATGTGGCGGTTAGCGGTTCATTGGAAAACGGTTCGGTGTAATCAGTGTGTCGAACCGAAAAAAATACGGGTTCGGTTACGGTTCAGGTTCAGGTAAATTTATTTTGTTCCGGTTCAGTTCCGGTTCGATTAATTCGATCCGCGAACCGGTTCGCGAACCGGTTCGCGAACCGGTTCGGGGCGCTGAACCGGTTCGCGAACCGGTTCTGAAATTATAAATGACAAATCGCAACATCAAAATAAATTACAAATAAAACATCTGAAATCAGCACATACGAAACGGGATACATCGTAGTGGAAGGCTCAGGGATTTCTACCAGGAATGGTTTCTTTATGTGCACTCAAAGGTTACCT